TTCGCGGTTCATGTCAGTGAGTGCCGGCGTTTCTCAGGGCTCCGTCCTATCCTCCACTATCTTTCTGCTGCATATCAATGACTTAATTCCTTTTGGGAATATTCATTGCGATGCATACGATAGTAAAGTGCATGCGGGGTATCCCGGATAAGCAGCGGCTGGGCAGGCGGTAACCAAGGTGAAACGGGAGAATCTTGTCATTAAATTCAATCAGGCTTTGGACCATATTTCTGAATGGGGTACCAGGTTTGGTTGAGTGCAATGCTAACAAAACCCAGGTCTGCGCTTTCATGGCAAAAACGTCGCCATTCCTTTCATGTCTTGGAGACCTGAACAAGGTACGGCGTTTTTTCACGCCCGAGCAATTTCACTGTGCTTGTTGTATAAGGAGCAGGCGCGGTCTTGCGTGGAATATTGCTCTCCACTGGCTGGCTGGCGGGATGGCTCCACCACCACGATGCTTTGGATGGGTTACAGCGGCGCGCGGTCCGTATTATAGGCGATGAAGAGGTGACTAAACACCTAGAGCCTCTACAATTACGCCATGTCGTGGCGTCACTAAGCACGTTCTATCGTGTGTACCACGGCGAGTGTTCTGAGGAGTTATTCTCTCTTATTCCACTTTCCCCTTTCCCTCAGAGCGCGCGCTAACCTACGTTGTCACCGACTAACTGTGGCCACAATCCCAACGCGTACAAAGAAATTTGTTGACACATTTCTTTGTTTCACTATCCGTTAACGGAATGCGCTGACCGCTAACGTATTCCCTCCCTCTAACAACCTGTGATTTTTTAAAAGAGGCGTGAAGAAGCAACACACCGGCCGGCAGGGTGAGGATGGCTGGTGTGGCAGGTAGAACTGCTGTATCAACTATCTTCGCGTCTGGACTTCACCGTTACTTATATAACTCGAGATTTTTTTATGTGGATAATCCAAACCCTAGTTATAAAGGTCCACTTAAACGACGAAGCCCTTCGGGAAAAGTTAGGTGGAGCCCTTGCACTTTGCTTGGCTCGTCTTGTCGTGTTGGTGGGGGGCACGGTTGCGTTGATATTGAATTCGAATTTTGAATTTGTGTAAGTTATAGGGAAAGTGAATACGTGTATACATACAAAGTGGTAGTGAAGAGGTAAGGTTAATTGGGATATCAATAAAAAACAATGATACAAATTAGCAAATGGTGCATAGAAATAAGCTTAAGTTAATTTCAGTGACATATTTAAAGTTTTCTAGATGTGATATTATAAATACCATAACAAAACTGAACAATAATACTATATACTTAACAATTTAACCAACAGTGCTCACAAGAATTCTCTGTAGGTACATTACGACAAAATAACAAATGAATCACATTCTTAATAAAATAAGTGCTAATAATTAACGTTGTTAAAGTTCTCTCGATCATTAATATCGATTAATCGTGTAGGTTCATCATGTACCTACATTATAAAAAATCGAAAACGGAAACAAAACAATAATATTCTAAAAGTTATCAATTAGATAACTATCTTAAATTCACTAAGGTCTATTTGCAGCAAATTTGCTATAATAAAAATTTTCTCTTCATTGTTTTACGTTTATTTACTTCTCTCAAATAATACGATAAATTTCACTCCGGTAATAAGTTTGCGTCCACGGAGCACGGATCTGTATACAAACACATGCGACCCGTAGGACGCCCAGTTTCGCCTCTTCCATGCACCCAAAACGGGCCCCTCAGGTGTCGCGCGCTATCGCAAATTAAGATACCTACTGGATGCAAGATGATCATCGTAAAGAATTGATAAAAACTTTTTTAAATATATACAGGAAGACGCAATAAAATCTGTAAATTGAACCCGAAATATACATTGCAAAATATACACTGCACGGTAGCGCCCTCCAAAATCCGCACGGTTAATGGTTGAACTATGAAATACGTTAAAAAGCATTCCGGTGATGAAATTGAGTCCAAGCCAAATTTTTGCCCATGCATTCTACGCATGAAAAGACGCCTTTGCACAAAAAATGAGGCTAGGTTAATCTTGCGTCCGTATACCGGACGCATCAAGTCGGTCGGACGCAGGATCAATAGCAAAAATCGCCATATAAGACGCAACATGATCAGCAAGATGTATATATATATATATATATGGGGGGCGCAGTACTAGCGCAATACTAGCGGGGCTGCTCGCGGACCGCAGCGCCAGCCCCGCCACTGTGTGCGGCGCGTTCTATCTGCTGGGGGCGCCTGCGGTCAGTATGTCGCTATATATATATATATATATATATATATGGGGGGCGCAGTACTAGCGCAATACTAGCGGGGCTGCTCGCGGACCGCAGCGCCAGCCCCGCCACTGTGTGCGGCGCGTTCTATCTGCTGGGGGCGCCTGCGGTCAGTATGTCGCTATATATATATATATATATATATATATATGGGGGGCGCAGTACTAGCGCAATACTAGCGGGGCTGCTCGCGGACCGCAGCGCCAGCCCCGCCACTGTGTGCGGCGCGTTCTATCTGCTGGGGGCGCCTGCGGTCAGTATGTCGCTATATATATATATATATATATATATATATATATGGGGGGCGCAGTACTAGCGCAATACTAGCGGGGCTGCTCGCGGACCGCAGCGCCAGCCCCGCCACTGTGTGCGGCGCGTTCTATCTGCTGGGGGCGCCTGCGGTCAGTATGTCGCTATATATATATATATATATATATATATATATATGGGGGGCGCAGTACTAGCGCAATACTAGCGGGGCTGCTCGCGGACCGCAGCGCCAGCCCCGCCACTGTGTGCGGCGCGTTCTATCTGCTGGGGGCGCCTGCGGTCAGTATGTCGCTATATATATATATATATATATGGGGGGCGCAGTACTAGCGCAATACTAGCGGGGCTGCTCGCGGACCGCAGCGCCAGCCCCGCCACTGTGTGCGGCGCGTTCTATCTGCTGGGGGCGCCTGCGGTCAGTATGTCGCTATATATATATATATATATATATATATATATATATGGGGGGCGCAGTACTAGCGCAATACTAGCGGGGCTGCTGGGATATAAATTTATGTCACAAAGAAAAATAAGTTAATAAATTACATAAATTTAAAATTCATTTATTGGCATTAAATAATAAATCAGTTTAGGATAACAGAAAACAAACTCAAGTCAAGATGTCTTAATTATATAATTTATTTTGTCATACACAATAATAATATTAAAATGCCATACATAACAATCTTATTTATATCAATGTATAGTGTGATATTTTAATTTCGTTAATACATAATGTATTTTTTTTTGTTTAATAACACAGAAACTTATAAAAGTTAATTAGTTAAAAGTATTTTGACCAGATACGTTATTTTGCCGTTTTGTTCGCCAGCTCCCCATATTGCGTATCTTATATTATCTTAACATATATATATACAGAGTATAAAAAATCTATGACAAAGACTTAAATTACACATTCTGTACACCCAAATAAGTGATATTAAAAAATATTATACGTGGGAAAAATTAGTAATTTTAAGTTAAAAAAAATACTTATATTTTTCCAGTACGCTATGTATAGCGCGGCATGCTACCGTGGCGCCAAAGAATGCGTATGTGCGTCGATAAAAAAGTTTCTAAATAACGTTTTGAAAATATTAATGTATAAATCTTGAAAAAAATATTGTAGCTTTTTTGACCTTTAATATCTCCATAACCATAAACCCAGGTATAGTCTAGAGTCTAGACTATACCTGGGTTTATGGTTATGGAGATATTAAAGGTCAAAAAAGCTACAATATTTTTTTTCTAGACAAAAAAATTATCGTCCTGATGTGGAAAATACGTGGCTTTCGACTTCCTTATCGGGTTTTTTACACCCTGTATATGTATTTTATTTTTTATTTTATTTTGTAAGGAATGATAAACAGTTGTACAATTTGTGTTACATAAAGATTTACAGAATCTCTTATCTATTAGACAAGTCCGTCCGTCCGTCCGTGGTGCTGTTTCAGCGGCCAAACCGTAAGAGATAGATAAAGAGAATGTTTAAGTTATAAGTTGAGAATAGTCTGATAAGACTACAAACCGGATGTGAGTAACGTAGCACTTCCGGTTTTCGAGAAATCACGTGATTTCTATTTCAAACGAAACCACACAAAATCTCCGAAGTTCTCAATTAATTAAATACATTTTTTTTTTTGGTGAACATTTGGTTCACTGGTTTGCTAGTTTTTATTACTAATTGTACAACCAGCAACGTTATCCACAGATTACTATTAAAGAGTAATGTGCTATGCTGTACACTAATATCTTTGTGAGATGTGACTAGTTACTGGCCAAGAATCACAAAAATGAAAACTACAAAAAAAAATGGTTGCCTGTAAAGACGGTTTTACGGGCGAAGATTTTACGTGACAACGTCTTTTTCTCGGTAGAATATTTATTGATATGAATATAATTAAATTGCACAATAGGAACAAGGAATTGAATGAAAATAAGAATTGCACAAATTTTAACTATAGAAATATATTTTGTTTACTAAAACATTGTACATGTAAACTTAAACTTAACACGAGAGACTCATCGTAACGTTACCGAGCGTTACACTTTTTCATAAGTGACTCCCAGCCGCAACCTAATTTAAGACGTTGTCACGTCAAAAAGATAAATATCAAATACCTGAGGAGTTCAAGAACTTGGTGTGACAATTAGTTCATAGATGTTAGTCTTGAAGGAGGTCGTCGGGGCTGAGAAAATATCAATTTCTATATATGTATATATCTTTATATATATAATTCTTCTGTGAGTGTGTATGTCACCGAACTTCTCTTAAACGACTGGACCGATTTTGATGAAATTTTTTGTGTGTGTTCAAGGGGATCTGAGAATGGTTTAGATTCACAATTTTGTCCGTTGGACAATGTTTTTTTAATTATTTTTTTTTATGGCGGTACGAAGTTCGCTGGATCAGCTAGTATGTATATATGTATGTGTAATAAACGTGGTTATTTGTCCAGCTTCTCATATACCAATGGTGGGGCGCCACCAGCTACTGGCTGAACGTATTCCTGCTGGTGGTGGCCGGCGCGCTGGTCAACGGGCCCTACGCACTCATCACCACCGCGGTCAGCACTGAACTCGGTGAGGGAATCACATTCATCATCAATCGATCAAAATCATTTCTTTCACCCACTCGCTTGATGTTCCTTGCCGGTCCCACCTAAAATCCCTTCTCAAATGTCCCACTCACAAAACTGACTTTGCATCCTACTCTTTTACAGTAAATGCCATCCGCTTATGGAACTCGTTGCCAGCAGAAATCGGAGACGGCCAGACCATTTCCACCTTTAAAAAACGATTGAAGGAACACTATCTTTCTACTTGAATATCTGAAACTTTATTGCTTCTCCTAGTTTGTTTTTATTTATTTTATATTAATATATATGTCGGCGGATGGCGTCTCGCTCGCTCCTGCGAAACGTAAAACCTACAACAAATGTCATCAGGCATTGTACCATTGCTTTGTGAAACGTCAAGTAATGACAGTGACAGCTGTCATCACTTGGGAGTGGTCTATGCTAAGGGTAGTATTTAAGGGGGTAACGCTTCATTGGAAGGGGCATTCGGCATTCGACATTCAGACGTGAGCCGCGACAGTGAACGGACGTTAGCACAGAACTCTCCGCGCATTACAAAGCAATCCGTTTGTACCTTGGCAATCATAACTGATTTTGTAAAGTAATAAGAAGATTCAAATTAAACGTTAGCTTGGTCACTAGACTACAGTTTTATTTTCGGGAAATATCATTGAATAACCAAGATGGCGGATCAAGAAAAACCACGTGGCCAACCGCCTATCCCGCTCGCCCACTCCGACATATATTAATTTAATTTAATATTGTATATATATGTATTGTATGTTATTGTATGTATCGCATATGTACTATGTTATATTTATTCAGGAGCACACACTGACTGCCTTTTTCAATGTTCTTTCCGTTCGCGGGCCTGCTGGAAGAAATTTCATTATGAAATAAACAGTGCCCTTGTACATGTCTCTTGTTTCTCTTCTATGTAATATTGACGTGACAACGTCTTAAATTAGGTTGCGGCTGGGAGTCACTTATGAAAAAGTGTAACGCTCGGTAACGTTACGATGAGTCTCTCGTGTTAAGTTTAAGTTTACATGTACAATGTTTTAGTAAACAAAATATATTTCTATAGTTAAAATTTGTGCAATTCTTATTTTCATTCAATTCCTTGTTCCTATTGTGCAATTTAATTATATTCATATCAATAAATATTCTACCGAGAAAAAGACGTTGTCACGTAAAATCTTCGCCCATAAAACCGACTTTACAGGCAACCATTTTTTTTTATTGTGTGTGTACAAAATAAATTTATTCAGTTTAGGCTGTTACAAGTACATATGAATGTCTAGAACGGTGTTTCCTAACCTTTTCAATACTGCTACCCCTGTAGCCTATTAGGAAAACAGATTTTACCCCGACCTTAAAACGTTATCATCATCAGCCTATTAATGTTCCCCCCCACTGCTGGGGCACAAGCCTTCCCTATGGATGGAATAGGGAGATTGGGCCGTGACCCACCACGCGGGCCCAGTGCGGATTGGCGGGTGCTAACGACTGCAGATGCAGCCGGGACCGACGGCTTAACGTGCCTTCCTAAGCACGGAGGAGGGAGAGATAACAAATATTTGGTCACCCATCCAATGACCGACCACTGCGAAAGTTGCTTAACTTCAACGATCGCAGCCGAACGCGCTAACCACTTGCGCCATCGAGCTCCTACTATACGTTATCATCAGTCCAATAAATTCCAATTTGGCCGCTACATCTTCGTCTCTAATAATGTCATCATCAGGAAAAAATCTCGCCCCGCTTCCCACACTCAGCACCCCGCGGGCTCGCTAGCGAGAAGGAGCGCATGCTCTATTTAGTAGTATTACTATATAGTATGAGGAGCTCGATAGCGCAAGTGGTAAGCGCGTTCGGCTGCGATCGATGATCTTAAGCAACTTTCGCAGTGGTCGGTCATTGGATGGGTGACCAAAAATTACTATCTCTCCCTCCTCCGTGCTTCGGAAGGCACGTTAAGCCGTCGGTCCCGGCTGCATCTGCAGTCGTTAGCACCCACCAATCCGCACTGGGCCCGCGTGGTGAGTCATGGCCCAACCTCCCTATTCCATCCATAGGGAAGGCCTGTGCCCCAGCAGTGGGGACATTAATAGGCTGATGATGATGATGACTATATAGTATTTGCTTATTATTTAGATTTGATCAAATAATTAGGTTCTTTGTTACCCCCGAAGTATAGCTGATTTACCCCCGGAGGGGTGATTACCCCCAGGTTCGGAACCCAGGCTCTAGAAGCTACGCCATCGGTTCGTAAATCTACGGCGGGAGACCTTGTACTGAGAAGAACCGGCAAGAAACTCAGCAAGGGCTGTTTTTTTCTCCCTGTTTTGTCATTTACAGAGTCGTCAAGTTGAAAAATGACTTCAGAGATGATTCATGAAGTCACCCTTCATTACGTAATGTGAAATTATACATTAATTGTTCAACTTCATTTTGATTGCTGTGTCACACAGTATAAATACAAACAGAGCTATTTATGATAGGTGTAATTAAACATTTACATCTTGAATATCAAAGTAGTTAGGGCAGACTCATCTCCGCTGGCAGCACCCGTTCACGAGCATGACGCATGAACCAGCCATCGCTTCGCTCAACCATATTTTAGGAAACGTAACGACCCGCCTCACACGACATCAGCCTATTAATGTCCCCACTGCTGGGGCACAGGCCTGCACCTATGGATGGAATAGGGAGATTGGGCCATGACCCCCCACGTAGTCCCAGTGCGGATTGGTGGGTGCTAACGACTGCAGATGCAGCCGGGACCGACGGCTTAACGTGCCTTCCGAAGCACGGAGGAGGGAGAGATAGTAAATTTCTGGTCACCCATCCAATGACCGACCATTGCGAAAGTTGCTTAACTTCAACGATCGCAGCCGAACGCGCTAACCGCTCACGCCATCGAGACATTATTTGTTGAAAATCATTCATATTTTGCGTTTAATTATTATAATACTAGCAAACCAGTGAACCAAATGTTCACCAAAACCTGATTTCTCGAAAACCGGAAGTGCTACGTTACTCAAATCCGGTTTGTAGTCTTATCAGACTATTCTTAACTTATAACTTAAATATTCTCTTTATCTATCTCTTACGGTTTGGCCGCTGAAACAGCACCACAGACAGACGGACTTGTCTAATAGATAAGAGATACTTTTAAACCTTTCTGTGTAGTAATATAAAATTCAGCGATGTAATTTTGAAGTGCAAACTTCTTTAACACCGTAGTGATTTAAATGTTGTCAAAGTACTGTAACCACAAGAGACAGATAGCCGAAAACACAGACAGATAACGGTCTTGGAGTAGACACCAAATGATCCATGGTTCGATCCTGAGCTCGGTTATTTTTTGAATTGTTTTGGATGTGTAACATCTTTCCTCTCGCTTTCGTGCAATTTGTGTGCGTGATTACGTGAAGTGGGACGTAATGACATAATAATATAAGATGTTTAAATCTAAAGAAACTTTTACTAGAAAAAATAAACGCGGAAATATGACTATAATTGCTATTACTTCTTTCAAATGTTTAATACTTGTAAAGGTATTCATTTGACATTGTGGGTTACTTACAATGTGGAGAGGGGGCGCTGCCTCGCGCCTCAGAAATACTAAAGAAAATTCGACACAGCCATTAGGGCCGCAGTAGCATAAGCAGCATCCGCCCGGATAACGGAGGGAGCTGGTTCAGTCCCGTCTGCTGCCGGTCCGCGTGGATTTTTTTCCCAGTAGATTTTTGGAGGAGCTCGATGGCGCAGGTGGTTAGCGTGTTCGGCAGCGATCGTTGTAGTTAAGCAACTTTCGCTGTGGTTGGTCATTGGATGGGTGACCAAAAATTTCTATCTCGAGTTCCTCCGTGCTTCGGAAGGCACGTTAAGCCGTTGGTCCCGGTTGCATATGCAGTCGTTAGCACCCGCATAGCCCCAGCAGTGGGGACATTAAGAGGCTGATGATGAGATTTTTTTGTATGGGTAGATTGGTTTTGAATAGGTGTATAATGTGCATAATTCCGGTTTAGGCACTCACTCGAGCCTGGCCGGCGATGCGCAGGCGCTGGCCACCGTCACTGCCATCATCGACGGCACCGGCAGCGTCGGTGAGTCGTCTACACTACACTACACTACGCTACACTACACTACACTACACTATAATATAAAGGAGATGCTTCAATTTGAGACAGGTCTATGTACACATTACTAAAAAAATGGATAAACAATAAACATTCCCAGAAAATTAATAATAATTAGTCTCTTTTACTAATTTATTTATACAATGAAGAATAATGCGGCGATTTTGCCGATGTCTTTATTAAGTCTGTGGTAATATTAGTAATGGAAACATAGTAAGTTCAAAAATTAAATGTGTAGAAAGGAGCGTCAGGAACATACTCAAAAGTCTGAACAAAGTATAGAAGCTCAAAAAATATTATTTATTTATTTTCATTTGGGAAACATACAGTTTCATTTAGGAAATATACAATCGTGTATATTTCCTAAATGAAATTATGGGGCAATATTTAATTATATACATTTTATTATATTCAATTTTGATTTTTAGTGAATGTTCGATAATATGTAGTTTTAATTTAATAAATCAATAATAATGAATAGGTATTTAATGTATTATGTATAATATGAGTCTTTGTTACTTAAAATAAAATAATTTAAATATTTTTTATTAATATATATAATAAAAGGGTACCTACTTAGAAAGATTTTGTTAAGTGCTGCGCTGTTATTGTATTTCTGAACTGTTGACACTTGACACTAGTTGACACATGACTGACAGTGACGTGAAGTTTTCTAGACTTGTTAAACGTTTGTTGATTTTTAATGTCATAATTAATTTAAAAATTTCTGTACCGCAAAATATATAATTTTACCATTAAAATTCGAGTCGACTATGTTCTTGATTTATATTATTTGTATATTATGTACATGACCTAGCCCAGGTCCCATACAAATATGAAACATCTCCTTTGTATTAGAGCGAATGAAACCCGGCATAATTATATAAACAATTATTAATTATTTAACCATATATTATTTTATCTACTTTTTATCATTGTTATGGTAAATTAAACTTAAAAATGTTATTTCAAATTAAATTTAATTGAAATTCCTGTAAAATAACTTTAGCATGTGTAATTTTACAATAATTTCGGTTTACACCACCAAGGCCCGTATTACAGAATGACAACTGAGTGTTGATCTTTCCTTTAGTACAGTTAGAAAGGGATGTCGCTATGTGTAGCACATAGCGACATCCCTTTCTAACTGTGCGCAAGTAAAGATCGACACTTAGTTGTCATTATGTAATACGGGTCTAAGATTTAAAATGATTAACATTTTAGTCATAGTGATGAAATCGAAATAGGGTATTTGACAGTATTCAAAATTAAGTGCCAATTGTTTGCATCTGTGTTTAGAATGAATATTGGGAGGTGTTTGTACGATGTTTACAAAAAAAATATTCATAATTTTACTAAAAACCCACGAAAAAGATAATAGTTTTCTTATCTATTGTCACGTGACCCAAAACGCTTGGATTTGGCGGAGCCTAAAATGGCGTCACACGCAAGTAAACTTCCGGTTAAAGTGACATCACATTGTATCGTTTGACGTTTTAATAACAGTCGTGTGACGTCACACACTAGTAAGACGCCATATTGTCCAGAGAAACGTTTTCGCGGCAACTTGAAAATGCAGTGTTTGATTTGGTTATTTTCACTGAAATACACAACAGAATGATGAATATCTACCTTTTACGGACTCCGTAAACATTAGTCAATAACGTGAGATCGTTTTCTAAAACTTGTCAAATACCTTATTATGTATTAAACAAGTATTCTACGAGTTTTGTTTAAAACTAGTATAGGACTTGTTTACTGATGGTAGCGAGGGGTATGTTTGTGCTTGTTACCGCGTGTTGAAGCCAAGGGCCGATCCAGCTTTGGCGCCAGGGGGGGTCATATAGTCGTGGTATATTAAATATTGAAAGTACTTAAATAAAATCCCCCTGGGTTTGGTCCATCTGTACCCAGCCCAGGGGTCCTTGGTTGAAGCCTCGTTTCTGTATACAGGCGCGGCGGTGGGCCCCATGCTGGCCGGCGTGGTATCGGCGGGGGGGGACTGGGCGCGAGTGTTCTACATGCTGGTGGGCTGCGATGCGGCCGCACTGCTACTGTTACTGAGGTGTGTCATATAATGTTTTAATGAAACTTGTTGAGATTGTTGGGTTACGTGTATAGAGTATGCCTGATTTTTTACGGAATTTTTAAAATTATTTTTTTCGTTTTTTATTTTTTTATTTGGTTATTTTTTTGTCATTTCTTCCTTATGCATAATTATTCATTTTAAAGACGTCTACATAGAAGTTGTGAAACAACTTAAAATAATCTGCACTGGGCCCACGTGGGGGGTCATGGCCCAATCTCCCTATTCCATCCATAGAGTAGGTCTGTGCCCCAGCAGGGGACATTAATAGGCTGATGTTAATAATATGTTACGTTGTATTGTGTTTAATTTTCATGACGTATACCTAATTATAGTATGCCCAGCATACTGACCATTTTCTAATTGAAGAAATGTTATAAAAAAATATTTAGATGACAGAAATATAAATGTAATATGAGTGTTATATCTTTGACAAAATTGAAATTATTTGATTTATTGTAATTTTATGACGCACTTTTGAATAATATTAAATTTTATTAATATTGTTTTTATAGTAATTTAATTGTTAATTGATTGAGAATTGTCTTCAAATTGTTATGACATTAGAATTATTGAAATTTTATGCTAATTACCTATATTAAATTCGCTTTCTTTGCTATTAAAAAAAAACATGTAGCCTAATGGAATATTAAATTAATTTTTCATATATAAAGCCGTTCGTTCGTCAGCTGATGTATTTGACTTAGAAAATAATAACTTTCGTAATGTGGAATATTGATACATTTTCTTAATTCTAGCTATGTCAATTATCAGTAAAACTTGATAATTATAATGTATACAATATTCTCTCCTACAGAATAGTGAGATCCGAATTAAGGAAGCTGCGGCAGGAGAGGAGAGGCACTCGCGCCGTGCGGATAGAGTGAGGAGAGAACACAAGATAGATAAATCATATTTGTATAATGTACATACATACAGTATATTAAATCAATATTGTGACATACAATCAATTTGTAAATTAATTAAAATAAAATATACAGAGATAAGTTCACGCGTTATTAGTTTATTTTATTATATTACTAGCTGCCCCAGCGAACTTCGTACTGCCATAAAAAATAGGGGTTGGTGGTAGAAGGGTGAAAATTAATCGTTGTATGTATGATGTATCATAAAAAAATAAAAACAAAAAAAACATTAAGTGTGGACTGGACCGGACCACCCTTAACATTTAGGAGGATGAAAAATAGATGTCCGATATTTCACGAAAATCGGTCGAGCCGTTTCGGAGTAGTTCAATTACGCACACAGTGACACGAGAATTTTATATATTAGAAGAAGTACCTGGTCCAACTCATTTATTTTTAGTATGCTTTTTCGTACTAAGTTTGTTTGAAAAGACTTAAAATACAAAAAGTACGTTGTCATATATTTCTGATTTTAAGTTTAGGGCAATACCTATGTAGGAAGGCCAAAGGGTAAGGTCTTCCTCCGAGCTGGGTGATGGTAGCTCGGGGGCCGCGGCCCGACTGATGTTGGTCGGGCATCGTATATATGAAGAGTTAGCCTTCGAATTTCATTTGCGCGATGTAGGCTTCCATACTAATATTGATCGCAGTGCAGGTAACGCCATCTCTTGAGTATGGTGAGTAATGATTTGTTATATCCGTTGTATATCTGTGGGGCATATAGATATCGCCGCCACACCTACATAAAGTAGCCAGAACTTATAAATGTGTTCTATAATGTAAATAAGTATACAATATAGAATAATTCTCATATCCAGTATTGACGAAGACCGTAGATGTTCAATGAACGAATGATCATATTTTTAGTTCTATATTCATGAGAAACTTTGAAAAATATCAGTGCGCCCAATTTTTGATAGAACGAATGGATTTTTTTCGCAATAGTAATTATTACTTATATCTTATCACTTTAATTCGGATATTATTATCATTTTGTATAAAAACTTATAATTACATATTTATTTCATAATTTGAACTAGTCTATTTTTCATTCTTGAGCTTTTATAATAGCAAATTATGAGATTTGTAAATAATGAAAATACAATTATAATGTTATATGTTGTACCTCGGTATGTACAAAAATGTAATTAAATGATATCACACGTTCATGTGTTATTATATGATCAAAATTTAAGTTAGGATCAACGATATTAAATACCCTAGATACACCACGAGCGCTCAAAATGTGTCCCAATCAAGAAGTGCTTGAACTCCACTCAAGCACTTCTTGGTTCAGTCACGCGCGGACCGTTGAAAAGGCAAGATGCCGCCGAGCTCCGTGAAAAATGCGAAAAAATTACTTACAATATGTAGTGTCGTTTTTCGATAGGTATCTAATCAATTTAACGCATTGAACCAAATTTTGTATTAATACTTACTATAAACTGATTTAATAGAAAATATTTCTGATATTCAAATGCATAGGCGGTAATATAGCCGTCTCTTTTCCTACGTTCCGTACCTGTTATGTTGCTAACAGCGCATTCAGAATTGCGAGTAGAGTCAAAGAAATAAGGTCTATATTCTTCCGCATATAACAAGAAATCGTAAAATTTTACGAACTTGCATTTTGAACTGTCATAACTGTGACGCATGCATTTTATTTAAGACCTTAGGGTACGGCCAGAGTGCACTTAGATTCAGATTCAGACTCAGAAAACAAGCGCGAGAAATATACAGTGTAGTTTAAGCAGGTTGCCTGCTGCCACTATGGCCAACCTGCTTTAACTACACTGTTTATTTCTCGCGCGTAATTATTTTTTGTCAACATTTGATTATCAACAATAAAACTCGTTTACTCATACGTTATTTTATAATTTGGCTCACTTAATTTAACTGTTTTTTTACTGCGAAGTAAAATAGGCCTCGCGAACTTGATGTCGCCGACGTCCACATGTGGTCTAGCGCCGCCACTGATTATGAAGGTACTAATATATAGTACAGTCATTTGGTGAAAAATATAGTTGTTACCTGGAAATTTTCTGGGTTTTTTTTTACATTAAATAGGCTTACGCTTGAACTTGACGGCCACGCGACTGATGAAGAGTGACGTAGCAGCCTAAGGTGGGACGCGCTTGCCTAGAAGAAACCGTATCACTCGCGACTTGAAGAGCCCCAGATTATAGGCAAAAGTAAAATACAATAGCAAGGTAGGAGTTTTGAAAAATGGTAATTTTATAAATTTTGAGGTGCTCTTTCCGAATTTCGACTTTGCCACCTCGTTTTCTTACCGCTCGGGCCGCCATATTGGAAAAATGGCGCCTAAAAGCAGTTTTTGACAGTATCTCCTTTCCGACTCATTTTACGATAAAAACAGCTATATAAAATCAAAATCAATATCGTTTATTAAGTCTAGGCTGTTATAAGCACTTGTGAATGAAGAAAAGCTACGCCATCGCCATCGGATAAAAGATGAAACTAGAGCCAATTGCCTACAATTTATGTACCTACCTTTTTTTCACAAAAGTCAATAGTTTTGGCGTACGAGCGTCGCAAAGTATACTCCAACGCGCATTTTGGCCAAAAAAAACTCATTTCCACACCACCTTGAGGTAGAGTAAGTGGCGCGTTTTTTTTAATGTGGTATCCCCAATAGGCCTAATCCACAGCAATTCAATGTGCTAAAATTTAGCGTATTCTCCATCGCTTTATTGTTCTCGATGGACCAGGCGTTGCAAATTCATCGTCTGTAGTACCAATCGAAACGGTATTTAGTTTACAACATCCGCGATGGGAGTATCAATTTCATCGCAATCCTCTTCGTTCTCGATTTGATCATGTGTTTGCTCAATATATAGTCTCCGTTTCTTCTTCATCATCGCTATCTGGTGATGGAACTTGCGAGTAACCACAGGGGGCCATTCGCCTAACGGAAATGCTTTGGAAAACGCTAACGCTTACGATTTAATTTTGTTATTTCTAGCCGCCTGAGGTTTTCAAATGCCTCGCGCTCTTTTTTTATCTTTTGCATTGGTAATAACAATAAAATGAGCGTGAGGTATTTGAAAACCTTCGGCGGTCAGAAATAATAAAATAAAATCGAAAGCGTTAGCGTTTTCCAACGCATTTCCGTTAGGCGAATGGCCCCCAGGTACCACTACAATTGGTGCATATAACCGAGCACCTTAACTCAGCCTTTCTGCATTCACAAGCTTTCTAGCATCCGTTTTTGCATTTGACTGTCATGTTGAAAAATGACTTCAGAGATGATTCAAGAAGTCGCCTTTCAGTAATAACACAGACCCACAAAAAAGTACCCTGCGCGAAAGACCAGACTAACTTAATGTTTTCGGGGTCGCTGAGTCCAAATATGGTGCCAGAACAGCGAAATTGGTTCTCATTTTTTTAACAACATAAACGATATTATACGAAAAACTTAAATTTTCAGCATTATTGCTGATTCCTGAAAAATGCGAACCTACTTTGCTATTCTGGCACCATATTTGGACTCAGCGACACCGAAAACATAAAGTTCAGGTGGTCTGGTCTTTCGCGCAGGGTACTTTTTTATGTGGGCCTGTGTAATCATTAAATGTACTTACATTAATTGTTTACATGCATTTTGATTGCTGTGTCATACAGTATAAACACAAAAAGTGTTATTTATATTAAGTGTAACTAAACATTAACATCTTCAATATCAAGGAAGTTAGGGCAGACTCATCTCCGCTGGCAGCACCCGTTCACGAGCATGACGCATGAACCAGCCATCACTTCGCTCAACCATATTTTAGGGAACGTAACGACCCGCCTCACACGACACTGCCTACCTATACTAACTACAACATATTTATATAAATTAAGGTTATTTATCTGTAGGACACCGCAAACAATTACAAAAGCAAAGCAATTTAGAAATCACGATCACGCCGTTTTGTCATTTAAATATTCCTAAACAGTCTGATAATCTTTCATAAGTTATCAACTTTATATACAGCTTTTAAATTCGAATTCAGTATTGACACCACACCATTCATAATATATAACTTTAAAGAAATGCCCGTTGGAATGGTTGGGACAGTTCAGACCCAAGCATTTCTGTCTGTAATATAATCCGATCTACATAACATAAACTTTCTTAAAAGTGATTTTTTAATTATCGATTTAAATTTAGTCAGGCTTAACTCTTGAATATTGCTTGGGACTTTATTGTAAAAGCGAACACAAGACCTCTAAACGAATTATTGATTTTGTGGAGCCTAGTAGCAGGTAAAGTTAAATTATTTTTACTTCTAGTATTAAGTGTATTTCACTACTTTTATTAAATAAATTAATACTTTTTTTTACAAACACTAAGTTGTCATATTTATATGTATTGTAATGCAACTGTCAATATGCCTATTTCTTTAAACTTATCTTTTAAGGAATACTTAATTGAAAATTATAAATTGATCGAATAGCCCTCTTCTGCAATACAAATATAGTTTGAAACTATAGTTGTATAGAAATAGCTACCGTAAACCGTACGGGTTAACAGGTACCTCAAGAGTCTGATGATGAGCAGGACAATGCCAACAGGCTCAGTTCTTTAAACGTATCGATCCATAACTCATACCTAAAACTTCGGGCTTAAATTTAAATTCATGGATTATTATCACTCTTTCAAACGTTCAGATATGGCGAGCCCGATAACGCATTTTGGATGGCGCCCTATCTGTAAGTCTATTCCTCTATCCAGTCGGCAACATAGAAGTCCCAGGTTCGCTTTCCCAATTTGCATATTTATTTACATGTTTCGAGAAAACATCACGATAGATGTTGTTCGTGAAATTCTTCGAAACACACGAGCACACAGAGGTCCACATCGCAAGCTTTGCATTTGAAGGCCGTTCTTGTGTCCACTCTTCTTTTAGCACACCACTTGCAGCGCGCGCGGCCAGATGCGTTTTTCATAAAATAGTGGCCTTTCATTCGCGCAGGTTGAGCTGGAATCGGCGGCGGTTGCTGGCTGTATTTAGCTAAAATTTCCCGGAGAAGAGTGGCCCGGAATTGCCGATGAGTCATATTGCCCTTGTGGTTATACATAATAT